CCCGTTGCACCAAACTCGACGTTATCTATTCATAAATTAATTGTTAAATATTTATATAATGATAAACAAACGATTTGGTAAAATTAAATTTTTTAAAGTGTTAAATTTACGAGTGTTGCTCAATCATTGTTTTACATTAAAATTATTACTAAAATACTAGTTAACGAATAAATAGTTCCGCTGTACCAGCAGTAGAAGTAACGTAAAACCTCGATAACGAAATTTAATTATATATACATTTTTACACGACGATAAATGGGCTTGTAATTTAACTCTTGATTAAGTACAATATTATCAAAAGATAAAATGTAAAACCTGGTTTATGGGACAACATTTATTTTAATTCCAGGTAAACGAGTTTATCTCTGTGTAAATATATATGTAACCTGACCTAAACTAATTGGCGTCGGTATTTAAAGCAAAATTACTCAGAAATTTGTCTTCAAATTGCGATTAAAAATGTGTCAACATTTTCAGAAAAATTGTCTGATTGACCATTTGCATTAAAACATGTAGGTTCTTAAAATTTACTATCGGCATAGGATAGTCTTTACATTTTGTGAAAAATCTAAGTAAGCGAAAATATTTCCGTTCACTGCATTTGAAAATTCGCAGGACATTCAAAATTTGAATTTACGCATAATTTTAACACCATATAAATGGAGTGAGCTTGCTTAAAAATCTCCGTGTATATTATATTATATCTTTATAGTTGTAAAAATAATTATATAAATAATAATAGTTCTTAAAAAATTATTCGTATCCCCTTTCCATGACAAAATCATTTGATTTATAGTCTATAAGTATTTTTTATCTTTTAACTGTTATGATATGATTGTTGTTATAATACTATTATTGAATAAACACTAAACTATAAACTTATTTACAAAATGCTGTTATTATTGTTTGTTTTTCAGTCAGAATAAGTCATTTCATTACGTTAGAATTTTGTCTTATCTTTGTTTACATAAACAGATACATTGCACATCATATCTATAAGTAATATAATAAAAGGAAGTGTTTCATTTAATGTATGTCAAATCTGTATGTATGTATATAACAGATAATAGTTGTACATTGCAGTCATGTAAAGATTTGAAATGTAGGACATGGGTAGATTGATATTGATGTAAGCGACAAGACTTTGGAGCCGGATTTTAAAAATATTAATATTTCCATAGATGGTAAGCACACATTTAAATTTTGAACTTTGAATAAAAAAATTGAATTTCTATCGTTTTTATCGATTTCTTATTTCGTTAAAGGCGTTAAGAAGTATGTATACAGGAAATTTGATAATCACGGGCCATGCTATGTGGGATCACTAGCGTGTATAATAGTTTTATTAATGAGTCGCGCATAACCTTCAATTTTTAACTGCAGAATAATATTAGTCGATAATAGATAAAAAAAAAAAAAAAAAACGATAGTAAAATATACCAGTAATTTAATATTGTTTGTGATTTTCATTATTTTGTTTGATACGAAACGGCACGGCCGGTTAACAGCAAGTGCCCTCGGTTATGACACGCTGTGATTTTATACGTTTTTCTTTATGTGCGTACATATTTATTATTTTCTAATATAAGAATTTTTTTCAAGCAAAGGGAAGTACTAACATTTCATATTTTGTAAGGCAAATTTAATTGTAATAAATTTAGATAGCTTCCAACTTATAACGTGTGAATTTATTAACATATTCATTATAAATAAAACAATTGTCGATTTTGAATTGATTATTCTTTTGGCCTTAAGTGCAAAAAATAGAAACCTACCTGTCAATAAAGATGAGCATGTATCTCGAAACACTCCGTTAGGAATTTTCCAATTTACTCCCCTCTGCGATGACTAAAATACGGTATAAAATTCAAAACCGCGTTCGTCTTACATTCCAGTATTATAGTTCATATAATATAATAATAAACCGTTCATTAAAAAATTTAATAAGGCGATTTTCGATTCAGTATAATATCAAAGGCGGTAAAATCACATAGGTACGTAATTAATGCTGTCATTTTTACGATTTTCGATGAAACTAAATGAGAAACACGATAATGTTAAATGTCTAAAAATAACTTAAAATTCGCCAGATGTTTTGAAAATTGTATCATGTCTAGAAAAGGCCAATATATCCAGAAGAATTCAGACATCTACGATTATTAAAAAAAAAAAAAAAAAAAACGAAACTTGTATTGCCGTAAATTTGTCCGTTTTTCTTAAATGCTATTTTTCCGGTTTTTCACAATTATTAAGGAAACTATTTGGATTAACAAAATAAATTGTCTTCACAATGAGCCAACTAGATTTTAAATGCTTACAAAAAAGCTCTATTGTTATTTTTTCGATTAGAATGAGATTTTTGTTAATAAAGCCGTTAACAGACAGAAAAAAAAATTCGCACCTAGTAAAACCAATACATTATTATTAGCCAAACTTAGAATCTAGAACAACAAAAGGATTAAAACGAATTCAAAATGTTCGTATCGTTAAAATTCCGAATAACGTAAAATTAATTCACGTTTCGGATTCAAGCCTTAGTTTTAATTTGAATAGTATTGGTAATTCGGATAACGGTAAAAATACATTTTATTATTAAAATTTGTTTATGTTGTAAACATTAAATTGCACAGTATAATCCGGGAGCTCAAGCCAGCCCGCTCCGGTATATCGGTAAAAGCGGTCGTAGGACATCCAAAAAAAATTCCGAATTATGTCAAACGAATACAATACCAAAAAGGGGAGGCATGTGTGTGGCGAAATCGTTGAAAAGAAAATGTTTACGCGCTCACATAATCAATACTTTACGAGTACTCGAGTGTTTTTTTTTCCTTTTCTTTTTTTAAAGAGTTTTCCGTCCCTACCGTCTTTCAACGCTTTCGGTAAAAAGGCCATAGCGTACGGAATACATATTTATATACCATCTGCCGTTGTACCTATTCCGTAACACATTGATAATAATATTACTGTGTCGCGTTTAACAGAATGTGTAAAATTAAACGAAGGAACAAATTAACAACGTTTTAAAACTTCTATTGTGCACGTATATATAGGGCAATTATCTAAACGTGCTCACTTCATTTTTTTGGTTAAATTTTCTATGTATTCAAATTAGAATTTTTAGAATTTTTAAGTATAGTTTCGAATGCTAAAAGTAGAATATCTCGTTATCGGGTTGACGAAAATCGAAAATTTTAACACCAAATGTACTTAAAGTCCGCCTATTTATGGAATTTTTAATATAGGTTTTCATTTGAAAAACCAAAGTTGGCATCATCACCTTCTTAAATGTTGTGAAAAATCTAAGTGTTCGATTGGCTTTAACTACGCTTAAAAATTTCAAAAAATTAACAAAGCAAAATGGGGTGAGCACGCTGAGTGAATCACCCTGTATAGTGTATATGTATTTACCGTATATTGTATAGTTAATTTTTTTGGTCCGGTGTCGTTAATTTTCGTTACCGGCATAATATTCTATCGATAGAAAATACAGGTACCTATTATACGCGTAAACGACAAAACAAAACATTATTTTGCGAACAATTAAAAATAAAAATAAAAAAGCTGATACTGGAAATGGGAGCAGCCACTGTTGTAGGTGAGAAGTTAGAAAGGTAGGATACATAAGGTTATTTCATTTATTTACCAATAAACATGGTTTATTAACCAACGATAAACCATTGCTTGACGAAAGACGATTGCGATCGCAGTTCGGTAATCATAATTTGAAGTGCCGTATTTTTATTTTGCAATTTTCGTTGAAATTCGATTTCAAAACGCTTATTAAAAAAAAAAAAAAAAGTCGTCCGATGATTTTGAACATTTTACCACGTTTAGGTGAGTCCAACATAGGTATTATTACCAAGTTTCAAGTATCTACGACCGAATTACAGCAAAAAACTCCCAAAAATTAAAATTCCTTAGAAGCTCAAAACTGGCTCAAAAGTTTTGGCAATGATACTGTAAGAAATTAAATCAATATTATTACTATATTCACCATCGATTTCGATGAATATTGTTTTTTTTTCGATTTGTTAATTTATTATGGTTACCGGAAGATTTTATTTGGCCACTGTTTATATTAAAAGTACATTTCTAGATTTTGCCAGATAAAATAACGGCACAATAATATCCACGTACTTTGTTGGTAAATTTCGCTATTATACATTAACGGCCAGAAGGGTGTTTGGGTGAAAGGGCCAGAAGAAGGGACAGGACGGATGACTGAGTGGAACTAAGGGTGAGGATATGGGATTACTATCGGCATTTGACTTATCTTAAACTTATCTCATATATAATAATAATAAAAATGTAGTGTGTACTTACCTGTGTTTTCGTTCTAAAAATCGAACGACAATATTTTTGTTTTTCGATAAATACGGTATTTTTTATCGGTTGCGTTTTCTGTAGTGTACGTGCACGTAGTCTTTGTTGAACGCAATAATATATTATTATCCTGTTTCTACAAATAATATCATAGTACCGTTAACCGCATACTTATTCATGTAATAAAATCGTATAAATAATAAAATATTTATCGTGATCAATACACATATAAATAATGCAATCGTCTTTTATTTGCAAATGTATGCAATATATGCATATATAAAATGGTATTATTCAACTTCTCTTTTGAAACCGGGTGATTTTCCCCTCTATATTTTGCTTTATACATTCATAAAAATAATAATGTTTTTTTTTTTTTTTAAATCGAGTATAAATATAAGTGTACTAAAGGACGCGATAAGAGCGATCAACCATGCAATTATTGTTTTATTTAATTTTTTTTTTTTTATAATGAATAATATCATTTACGACACGTCTTATTTTACTAAAGTAGTGTGGTGTATGTAACTGTAATTGAATTTTTTCGTTATTTTTTTAATAATCATATTTAAAAATAATACATTTTAAGTTTTATAATAAGTCTACGAGAAATACGATTATATTTTATTTAATACAATAAAATAAAAACACTCAATAAATCGTAATAATATAACATAGCAAACACGGTAATTTATACAGGATACAATATGCGCTTAGCGTTAGGTTATATATTACAAAATAAACGGTTTGAAATTAAACAGTTTATTTTTATTTTATAATCACGTTATTTCGCATTTAAAAAAATTTTTTTTTCTTATGATAATCTGTCCAAAATCGATTCCGGCCACGTTTCGCCTTAGAGACGATAAATTAAGCATTTGTTTTTTTTCATCGTCAAATTCCAAATAATACAATTAAGTATTCGATTTAATGGAGATATTTTCCATAACCTCCTCCTGTACCGCCGTCACAACATGCGCAGGAGCCATCGTTGCATCCACAGCAGCCACACACACCACCGCCCGTTATAGAAACGGGTACTGAGCACGCCTAACGAAATAAAATTTATAACTGAAGGAGTCTGTGGATAATTAACTGGTATTTTTTTCGGAAATTGTTGTTATTTCACAAAAAAATAATGATTGTTGACTCATCAATAATAATAATAACAATAATTAGTTATTAATATTTGATTTGTCAATAACAATAGTATTACAAAAACGTTCAATCGATAAAAGTTGTTGTAAGTGAATAAAGGCGTTATAGTATGTTAGTATGTCACCATTGGTTAGCATTGGCATTAGTTGTTGTTATTTTCTGTGGAAAAAAGTACTGTAGTTTGTTTACACTGGTAAATACATTTTACGGATTTTTAATTGTTTACTAACATTTTTTAATAAATCAGTAAAGATATTTTGAAATTTACATTGAAGTTCTATTGAGCCCACCTAGAATTATTTATTTATCCATAATGCAAATGTTTAAACGCAAAAATGTTCCAATGAATTTTACACAGTTTTCGTTTTAAATCATCCTCTTCTAAACGATTTTAAAAATGTCGGTTAATTTTATTTATTTACGCCCCAATGGGCAATTTTACATAGAAATATAATAGTATTGTTACATATAGAGAATCGTTTAGAACGTTAGATTAACAATACTTAAATAACTAATCATATTACTAATAGTATAAAGGATAGTTTACAACAAAAGAACACTGATTACGCTAGAATAAAAAAGGGAGCGTGAAAACGCACGCGAGGAGGAACTCTGAAGTTAATCTGGAATAGTAGGGAAGGGCAGTTAATGGAGCTATCTATCTAGTAGCTTGATCAAGGATCGAATATTAGCAGATATTATTTTGTCTACTATATTGAATAAGAGAGAGGTAGCTAAAGACACTAGTGTAATCGTGCTGGGGATGCTTGATATTAAAAACATTCGCCACAAAGGAAAGTAAACGACGCTGCACTCTCGCAACGCCACAAGACCCAGAAGCAGTACAGTTGACCTCTTTAATTATTCGATATTAAAAAAAAACAGATCTACTTCATCATAAAGTCGAATTTTCCCCAACTTATTTTGCATTGTTTATTGTTGTTCTATATAACAATAAATAACCGAAATACTATATTACTACAGCTATTATACTAAATTTGAAAAAATACACGGCCCTGTTGGTACTATAACGCGATACATACACAAAATGTCACCGGGGCCCCGGTTTTATTTAAAAAGTCTGTATTTACAGGGATGTTTAAAGTTTAAAAAAAAAAATCACTCTCTTCGCCCTTCGGTGAAATTCGTATTAAAATTCGACCAGACTTCTATACCTTCAATCCGTCTATTATTAAACAACTCTAACTATCGAGTTTAAGTTTATCCGGTCCCGAGGGAGCCGTTAAAAGTGTCACTTAACGAAAAGTATAGCGGCCGGAAAAAGATAAAAAAAAATCAATAGACCTTTACACACAATATGATGGCGCAACAGTGTCCATTTTCGAGGAAAATTTGACAGCCATGGAAATCATTATCGTTGCTGTTATTATATTGTAATAATACGGTATATACTGTATACTTACTCGAGTAACGGCGAAGACGGCCAACAGAAGACCCATCAAGTACACTGTTGTTAGTATAAAGTTGTACGCCATTTTCGTATAATACTCTGGGACGGATTCGAGAATAATATTTGTTACTTATTATATACTTATTGAAGTATTATTTGGGTTATATTTCGACAAAACCGATTATTATGCGAATGATGGTTATTCGTGTCTTTTATACGGGCCGCCGCCAATCGGATTGTAGTTTTGACAAACACCGCATGGTGATTCCGCATATTATTTTAACATCAACAAAATATTATAGATTTATAGATGCACGGTGGACGGCACGTACTTACATAGTTACATCTTACATTGTTATGATGTTATTATGTGAAATGCACGGCGATCTACTGCCATCACTAATTGTTTGTTTGTTTCACGGCGAAATCGGCAATAAAACGCGAAAAGATAAGGAAATCGCCCAGTGTTAATAATAAACGTTTATTTTTTCAATTTTTTTTTCGCGACATTATACGTTCAGAATACAATTAGTTTGTTGTTGTTTTTTTTTTTTTTGCGTACGGGTATGGGGGCAATTGCGTTTTTTCTCCCTTGTATATTATTATTCGATTATTTTTAATTAACGTTGCAGTATAAATTTAATTTTCTATTCACTTTGTAAATAAATAAATTATATACATGTATAACCGAACGCCGAAGGGGGGAGCTGACACTCATTATGGATACTACACTCGTAGTAAACGTATTTATTCTGAATACGTTATCGAAACGATCCCTGTTTGCAAGATTGGCCTTGTCAATGCCAATACGACGGCCAATACGTTACACGGGTAGGGTAATTGGTAAGGGTAGAGTAATCCGCCGAAAGTTTAGCCGGAAAATCCTCCGAGTACGCAGTACTGCCACATTAAAATATTTTATTGTATAAATTATCGTTACGTTCGGGTTTATTTTCTAGTAATATGGTCCGCGAAGTCGTCGCCGACCGACAAGACTAAATCCGATCGGGACGCGTTTTTACTAGTATACTTATAGTGACCAGATATAAAAATCAAAAAAAAAAGTTCTCCATTATCAAAAAACTCTCCATTGAAAGACTATATATATATATATTATTTTTATCTGATTACTCTATTTTTTTTTCTATTATCAACTAAAAATCTAATTATTTAAATTCATAATGTCAGCATATTTGGTTTGTGTCTTAATGATGAAAATACTTTGAAATTTAAGTCATTTTAAGTAAACTTTAAGCATACGTGTATAACTAAATTATAAATATTTCAATTCATTTTTAAAGGTAAACATTTAAATAAATAAATACGAAACTGTATTAATATGTTTCCTACATATTTATATTTATTTATTTATTATTTATAATTTTCAAAAAAGAGTAAAATTATACGTACTTAACACTATTGTTAAGGACATAGGACAATGTATCAAAAAATTGTGCTGTCTACGAAAAAGAGTTCGTCTGGTTACCATAAGTATACTATTCTCCTAGTGGAACGAGTAGTATTTCCAGTAATTTAATTGTCGGAAAAATTAGTTTTTTCGATTTCATTGTTTTTCACCATGAAATTATTATTTTTACTCTTTGGTCCCTGAAAAGAAGGACTTGAGATAATTTCATAAACAAAAATTTTAAAAATATTAAATTATAGAATCATAGCAAATAGGGAAAATATGATGAAAAACATAACAAAAGGAAAATTATAAAAAAAATTTAAAAATTGACTTAAGCCCTTCTTTGTGTGACATTTTGCATTAATTATTAGTCATACTAGACATCCTTAATTTTTCGAAAGATCTTGTTTGTACTTAATTTATTATTTTTGCTTTTTTTAAAAATTGTTGAGGATATACTGCAATTTTCTCTAGTATTATTGTGTATTAAAAACAAAATAAACTCTACAAAAAGTGTTATACCTAATAATACTTACGTCGTCGTGCCTGAATTCCAAACGTTTTCCCTGCGCATAACATTTTAACAATAATATAATACATATATTATATTACAATGTTTTTATACATCTTTCGATGATGTTTTACATTAAAATTACTGTTTTTCGTGTAGAGGAAACTAATATAATTAAAAAAAAGAAAACTACTTCAAAATTCATAATATTATAATCGGTAGGTAAGGCAGCTCGCAATGAGGTATACAATAATAATAATATAATAGATATTATAACATTTATAACAAATAAAAAATTACATAATAATATAACTTAGTAGGTATATAATAATAATAATAATAATAATAATAATAATAATAATAATAATAAAAACGTTTATAACACTTTAGAAATATGGCTGATAAACTTACAGCTACTATATAATAATGATAATTATAAAAATTGAATGATGATAAATAATATTTAAAACGGTCACAGTTTCACTCACAACACACGAGAAATTATTATAATAAGCGTCTAAATAGTATTTCACTAATCAAGCTAATTTTTATATTATAATATAATAGGTGAATAAAAACTTAGGTATAATTGAGACATAATACTTATAGAGCTACTTATAATATTATTGTGTAGGTAAATTCCCAGTCAAATATTTAACAGTTTTAGAACATGAATGTTTTGAGCGTGTTAACATTTTATTTATAGTCTTAAAAATACCAACTAGATAAATACAAATACTAGGTACTAAATTCTGTGGAAGATACAATAATATAATATTATAATCTACAGTTAATCATTTAATTTAAGAAAGAAAATACCTCACATGTTCTATCATGTCGATCAATATACCCATAAGGGTTCTATTGTTTATTACGTTTTAATTTTTCTAATAAACTATTTATAACTGCTAAAAGTTTAATAATATAAATGTATGCGGATAAATGATGGTTGTTTAATCTCTAAGCGAGTGAACGCTAAAATATAAGTTCTTATTTCTTTTTAAATAATACACGCGTGAACTAATAAAAAGTTATTTGGTTTTTAGAAGCCTTCGATGTAACGAAAAGAAAATATAATTAATTATTTATTCGATGATTTACTATGATAATCGAACCAATTCATCTGATTATATTAGGTTTTACTTTATGATTACATATTTTTGTGTTGTTGTTATTTTATTATAGTTATTTTTAAACAAAATAGTACATTTTGTAGGTTATCGAATGAAAAACAAACAATTGTTATTCAAATTAGAATAGTCTGTATAAGATTATAATGTTGCCTTTCTAATTTTCTATTTTTATAAGCTAAAATACACGATAATATATAAAGATAGTTTCAAACATAATTAATGTTTTTAAATAAGACGAAATTAGAATTAAAAAACGATTAATATATAACTTAAAATTATGCGATTAAATACAACGCCGCGTTTGAAGACTGAGTCCCAAAGGAATCGATTTACAAGCACACTGCAGAGTTAAACAGACCACCGGGATACCAGGAAATCTCGAAGTAAGAAGCGAGAAAAATGAGTCATGCAAATCTGGTGAGGTCTAGGTGGGGTGATTCAAGTGACTAATTAAGTCTAACACAACATAAGATATATTTAAGTTGTCCTTTAATCATATATCCTGTATCATAATAATGAGCCGTCTGTGAGGATACTTTCAAAGAGAAAAAGAGATGGCAAAACAATATATTTAGGAACTGTTCAAGGCTGAGGCAGAGCTTAGAGGTTTATAATTGATCGTAATAATTAGGACTTTGTGAGAGCATCTTCACAGACTAATAAGCAGAAATATTCATAAAGATTGACAAACTCCAACAGGCCCGCTGTGTTTCTATCGGTAGCACGGCTTATGATGTTTTAAAATAATTTAGAGGGGCGAAAAAATGTTTTAGGTTTTTACCTTTATTTATTTATAGACAAATTTAAAATGAGAAATATCGGCGATAGAAAGTTTAAAACTCGAACAGAACCGCAATATTTGCCTAATTGTTTTAATAAAATAGTTAAATCTTGTAGAAATGAGGGGATGATAAACAATGTATTAAGGGGATAAGATAAAACTGCAGTATAGCTTAGAGTTATGGGTCATTGTAATAGTTAGATGTATGTGAGGGCATTCTAAGAAACTTTTAACGAGAAATATTTAATAGAGATGGACAAACTTCAACAGGGCCGCTGTGTTTCTATCGGTGCCACGGCCTATAGAATAAATATATTTCCCTGATTGTTTTAATAAGATAGTCAAATCTTAGAGATATGAGGGGATGATAAACGATGTATTAAGGGGATGAGAAGAGACTGCGGCAGAAATTAGGTAAATAGTTAATCGTAATCATGGTGAGTCGTCTATGAGGATGCTTCGAAGGGGAAATATTGTCGATAGAGAGTAATAAACTTCAACAGGGCCGTTGTGTTTCTATCGGTGCCACGGCCCCTGAAGTATTAAAATAATATAGAGGGGCAAAAGAATGTTTTCAACCGGGTTCAAAAAATATAGTAAAACGCGGCAATGATTAATCACGCATCGAGCATAATATTTTATACCATAAGATAATATAATTATAAATAATTAATTTTAGTATTTTCATATTGTATAAATATTACATATTAGAAAATATTTAAAAAAACAGAACTTATAATAGATTACTGCATGGTTATTTTAGGTTTTTCTTTTTTATAAATAAAAAGGTGTAAAATGAGAAATATTGGCGATAGAAAGTTTAAAACTAAAACAGAACCGCTGTGTTTCTATCGGTGCCACGACCCATGAAGTATTAAAATAATTTAGAGGGGCATAATATACTATACCATAAGATAATATAATTATAAATAATTAATTTTAGTATTTTTATATTTCATAATTATTTTATATTAGATAAAAAACAGAACTTAAAATAGATTACCGTATGGTTATTTTAGGTTTTTCGTTTTTATAAATAGAGAGGTTTAAAATGAGAAATATTGGTGATAGAAAGTTTAAAACTAGAACAGAGCCGCTGTGTTTCTATCGGTGCCACGGCCTGTAGAATAAAAACAATTTCCTGATTATTTAAATAAGATAGTCAAATCGTAGAGATATGAGGGATGATAAACAATGTATTAAGGGGATAAAAAGAGACTGCAACATAGCTTAGGTTTATGGGTCATTGTAATAATTAGACGTTTGTGTGGGCATCCTAAGAAACTTTTAACGAGAAATATTTAATTGAGATTGACAAACTTCAACAGGGCCGCTGTGTTTCTATCGGTGCCACGGCCTGTAGAATAAAAATTTGTTGGAAAAATATTTTCGCACGAACCTTAACTTTAAGTAATTTTTATAAGAATATATTATAAGAATACATCATAAAAGTTGATTATTGATTAAATAGCTATACAGAGTGATTAATTCTCGATACAAAACTCATTATCTCGGAAAGTTTTAACTTTTTTCAGAATTTTTTGACAAACATGAAACAAGAATTTCTGTTGGTAACTTCACAGACTTTTATAGAGAAATATTGTCAATAGAGAGTGATAAACTTCAACAGGGCCGCTGTGTTTCTATCGGTGCCACGGCCTATAGAATAAAAGTATTTGCATATTATTTGCCAAAAATTAATAGTCTTGTTTCAGTTTTGAACTGCTAGTTTTCTAAATTTTCTATAATAACAAATTCCAAAATAACGTAACACCCTCTGGTGGTAGGGATAATGAGTAAGTTTCTGATCCAGGATCACTCTGTATATTGTACCTATTGTTATAAATACTACAATTATAAAAGTTTATAATACATAAAATTACGAAATACGATTGATAATATATTTAAAAGAATCAGTAAGTTAATCGATTTCATTATATACCTATCTTAAATCGATTTTTCTCATTAAATTAAAATATGTTGGTATATACACAGATTCCAAAAAATTTAATAACTTGATATCTTTATTTCGATAATCATATATTTCAATATTTATACATTTACATCGAAAAATGTTACTTAAATACTTAATAAATAATTAAATTCGAATAATTTACCGTTGGTTTAAAAACGTTAAAATTCCGAATAAAAATAGTCAATCATTATATTATATTTACCGGACATAACAAATTTCATACCTATCACGAATACAGAGATAAAATTGTATTTTAGAATATTGTCTGTTTATCTTATTAATTGTTAAAAAACGACCTACTACTTTTGTAAATGCATCGATACTTCTATTGTTATTATTATTTTTATTTTTTTATATGTGCACATAAATTGCAAAATATTATTAAAGGTATATGGGTATATGTTTTGTTACACAGAATTTCGAGTAGACGACAAATCGACATTATACTTTTTCATTACATATAAATCTTTCACGCGCGTCCTACACAGCGAAAACCGAAACGGAAGGATCAAATCTGTTGTAATGGTATATTAAAGAGAACAAAAGAGAACCGTTTTGTTGTGGTCGTATACAAACATTTTTGTATTATTATTATTATTTTGTTATGTTTGGTTTTTTTTGTTTTTAACACTTCCTAGCTATATGTTTAAGTAATTACATTTGTATCATTTTATTATCGTAAGACGCAATTAAATAAATCGGCACTCTTGAAATGAAAAAGTAAATCCACGTTTCGTGTTATGTTTACAAAAAAATGCCGGTTGCCACTTTAATTTTTATAAAAGGACAATAATATAATATTTTCGTGCAGACTACGCGTACCGGTATACAGAGTGTCTCCCAGAAATCTAAAAAGTACAATAACTTTTGTTATACTCAATATGTTTAAGTTTTATTTTTGTCGTTCTAACTGCTATAAGCTTACGTTAAAAATTCTGTATTTTCAAAAGAAAAAATAAGAAATTTAAAGTTTTTATAAAATCTAAAATAGCTATTTCATAAATAAATTTTGAAAGATAATGTCGATGTCACAAATCGGTACACCAATTTTCTTAATCACTTTTGTTAACTAAAATCTTCCTTTAAAATATATTTATAAAATGGCTATTTATTTTGAATTTTGTAAGAACCATTTTTTAATTTTACTCTCAAAAAAAATATGTAAACATAAAATAAAAAAAATCATAGCCCAAGACTTAAGTAATTATTACAGGAAAAACTTGAAAAAAATTGAATGCAACAAAAATCATTGCATTTGTCAGATTTCCGTGGGACACTCTGTTTGTATGTATTTATGTATATATAAATTAAGTTCAAAAGGGCCCAGCCCATATGATTAAACAAAATTAAAATTAAATTATATAATATAGCTAGATGTTTTTTTTTTTTTTTCAGTTTAAACGGACAGGAATTTTGAAATATTATTACACGAATAATATTATATTTACCGGTGTATAATACAAGTTCAATGTAAACTATTTAGATCATAATATATTTATAATTTACTGTATAACGGTTTTATATTATTATTATGCTAACTAACAATCAGAATTGACGAAAAATATTAAAAATAAAACAACAACAAAACTGTAATTTATTTACCTATACCCTGTCTGAATTCTGATTTCTGTATCGTTGAATGATAATATTATATTATAATTTAATGGATACATATATATTCATTTTATATAAATTATATTTTAAGTACTTATAGTTTAACATAAAATTATTCTTTGTTTTTATTTACATCTCACATTATAAACGAATCTCACTAATACTTTCATATAAGTAAAAGATATTACATGGTATAATATCGTTTTACTTTGATAAAGCGTTCTTCGTAAAGAATTCACATATTGTTTGAATTAAAAAAAAAAAAAAAAAAATTTAAATCGGTCGAATATTTTATAATTAATCGATCGCGTCGTAACAATTCCTCTTTCCTGAGAAGAAATATAATTTGTTACTCGATATTATTATTTGTATTTAATTAATTTCACAGCAGAGTATATTATAGGTAATCTCGATTTGTACGACGATGATTAAAAATAATAATAGGCGAAATAACGGCCGTTCTTTGGCGATACTCTGTAGTTATCGAATGGTATCGTTGTCAAAAAATTATTGTATTTGATGTTTGTTTTGTTTCCGTGAAAGTACTTAAAGTACCTACGTACGGAAATTAACTGGTATCGAAGTTGCTGCTATAGTCTTTTTTTTTTTTTTGTTTTAATGATTATATAAATGTATATTTTGTAAACCATTGGAAGTCGGCGCAATGTTTAAAAATAAAATAATACCTGTTGAGTGTTGAGCGATTATCAAATAAATACGTGTAAATAAATAATAATAATAAAAAAAAAAAAACCCTCTAAGTAATAGTATATATAATGTACGAGATGATGGTGAAAAAAATTGTTTTTGACAGATTTCGGAAGAATATTATGCCATTTGCTAATAATAAAAAAATATTAAAAATTCAAAACGTTTCTCTATGGACATACTCGTATTATCACGATAGCGTTGATATTCAAAAGCCGAGAGAATAGCAGGAAATTCGAAAAATTGAATGGTGTAGATGTGTATTTTAAACGGACTAAGCCACGAGGGGCATTTCACACACCGTTTTGGTATTGCGCAAAAGACGTGAGCAAATATATATTAAAAAATGTATTATTACCGGTGTAATATACAGATATAGTTAACGAAAGTGATAATGATGGAAAACGGCGACAGACTGATAGTGATAAACAAAAAACAAAACAAAAAGAAAACCACATAATATATAATAATGTGACAACACGTTAGAAGATTGACACTTTTTAATTGATAATTGATAGGTATACCCTGTGAGATAAAATCGTCAATATTATATACGTGTATGTAGATTGGTATAGACGGGTTGAGCATATCTGAGTCTTAGTTTGTACAAAAACACTTTTCCAAATTCGAATGATATGTTAACCCTCAATATTTATTATAACGCTACTTTATAAGCCCATAAAATCTCTAAAGATATATTTCGAAAAAAAAAGAGAAAAAAAGGTTACATTTTTATTATATCTTTAATATTTTTCATAAATCCAACGACACCGACAATTTTTCGCGCCCGTATATTATGTGCGCTTGATGTTATTTAAGAATATTTTATTTATTATTACATGTTGGTGTTTTTTTTTTTTTTTTTTTTTATTATTATTAAAGCGTAATACGAATCGTAATTTGTATACCACGGATGTGCATTTTCTTCACTGTTATAGTGAATCAGAGGCCCATATTATAATATTATATTATTTTAGGAGCGAGTACAGCGACCAATACGTTTTAAGAGGTCATTTTGAAGTCGGACGATTACTCGTGAGTATTTTTAAGGGCAGCCACGTAAAACCTAATAGATTTTAACGAAGAAACCGTAAGAACACCCAACGACGAATGTGTATAATATCCCGTAAAAAATAATGTTTTTTAGTTTTAAATTTGATTTCAATTTGAATATAATGTGTAAATCAGCATATTCGACAACTCTTCATTATTGCCTTTGCTAATTAAAAAATGTCTGAGGTATAGGCAATTTTATAAACTCGGCATACTTATTATCGTAATAAAGAATTTTTCCCAAGGTAATTAATTATTTACTTATAAGTTATCGTTGCCCTAAATTAAAATTATCAATTTCTACACGAAAATACTAGAAGGCAATGTCTATATGTTTTGAACATATTTTAAAACGGTAATTAACTTATGTATCTAATATTTTTTTTTTGTTTTTTGGTTACATTTTTTTCAAACAAACACACATTCTAAATATAGTTTGATACCCATTTGAGTATACTATAATTAAATACTAAATATTATAATAATAAATTTAAATCGAATACGTCAATATTATGTATTATTAACTATTTACTTTCAATCGTATTTTCTAAAACTAAAATGTAACTAATTTTAAAATCGAGTGATTTTCTATACTTTATATAGTACTCCAAAAACTCGTTAAATTACGTTTTGATTAAAACTACCGGTATATAACATAATGCACTTAAACTTAAAGTTTATTAAATAAACGTCTACAATATTATATTGTTTTCGTTTATCTTTCTATTTACATAGACTGTACGCTATGTAATAGACTTTCTGACTTAGCCTTTGCATAGACCTTTTCGAGATTATTGTGCGCGATATTAATTAGAATTAATAATATGACATCTGTGATAAACAAACGTTTTAAAGGCCATACTTATTTATAGTTATGAATAGATATTATTAATATTATTTTTTCTTTTTATTCCTTTTAGTGGCTATGCGGTAGTTATTAATATATTATACTCGTATACCGAGTGTCGGATTACTGTTTTTAATAATGTAATTGCAGTTGTATTTCTTACGAATTTATACCGCAATTGTATGTGTATTTATAATAATTATAATAATGAATTTGTATTTTACTTTTTTTTTTGTTTTTTTTTTCTCGGCGAACGTTTTTCATTTAAAACGTTCATCATTCTGTATCAATAATTGTATGTTATATGCGCATAACATAACGTCCAAATTAAAATTAAGTTATAGATAATATTACACTATTATTACCTGTTTGTAGTAATATTTTGTTTGATAAGTAAACATATTGTAAATGGCTATCGGTAAACTATTGTTGTAATGTAAGCCGGTAGGGTAAAGAAGCTAATAATATTATGTGTAATAAATTAAGGAGGAATGTTTTAATTGTGCAGTTAAACGACTTTACATGTATGATTGAGGGTACTGTCTATGCGAGTATCTCTTCTTCGGTCTTTTTAATTGCACTTTTAATCTTTTGGAGCCGATCTGAAATCCGTTCATCGTTTGAATAGCGATTTGAGCACTTGTTGGATTATCGAACGACACGAAACCTGTTGCGAAAAAAATGGTATACACAAATATTACGTATACGTTTTAATACGAGACGATTTAAGTGCGTATTCATTATTTTGTTCTCGTTTAATTCCTTTTGCGATACGCTAAAGTATTTACCCGCATGTTGTAATATAGTAATGGCGCACGTGTTCAAATTAAAAATCAAGCATATTATTAGGTACACTTTGTAACTTATATTTTCAATGTAATGATGAGGTATTTTTACAAATAATTACTGCACATGCATATTATTTCAAGTCATTATATATTAAGTATACTGTAATAAAAAACATGTACTTGCGCGTTTTATTGATTTTCTAAGAATATGCGAATGAATATGAATAATATATTATTACGTTACGCTTGTCAGTGGCGGCTCATGCAAACGCCTGTACAATATGTATTTAGGCGGAACATAATAAAGTGATAAAATTACTTATTGATAGTATATAATATTGTACAGGTGACGGTAGCCGTTCTGCTACGAAATAATAATAAAGCATATTTCGGTGTAATATTGCTGCCGACAAGTGGTCGTTAAATTTTATCAAAATATTGGTTTCTGAAAGGGATCGGGTTATGCAATAATGAGTACACAATGATCGGTGCACGGTGCCCCGTGCAAAACGTCGTATATGCAAGTAGATGATAGATCGATGCGTTTAGTCATCGGTCGCTATAAGAATAACGAAATTCCAATAGTAAAAATAATAACTCTGAGATAAATAAAAAAATTGCCTCGAAGTCACCATTGTATTTTAGTATTTCCATTTATCTGTGTATAATGAATTTAAATGATTAAACCAATGTATTACACCCCAAACGTGGATATTGTCCAGTTCATAGAATGGACAAAAGATAGTTAATAACATGCCCATTTCGTGAATTGAGAAAAACTAGTAAAATATATAAGTACTAATATATATTTTTAATAAACTTAAAATTGCTATAAATTTGTTATTATATACAATCATTGTATTTAAATATTTATATATTTTTTAAAATGAGTTGGATAAAAGTAAATAAATATATTTGATAATAAAAATATTAGTTTTTTAACAAAATATTTGTAGTATAAAATAATGAATTAAAAAAGACGGACATACTTCGCACATGAGTGGGCCTGTTCTAGGTGAGAAGTTGAAAGGTAGAGAAAAACGTAACGATTAACTATTGCTAACGAAAAACGATTCTGAGTGGACTTTGGTTCATAGTGTTGCTTTGTCAACAATATTTACATTAATATGTTACATTATAGTAAAATAATTGCATATGTATTTTATACTTTCTTTAATAATATTGTTTAACATTGTATCTTTTTTCCCGTTTTCCCCAGTTTTTATCATGTTTTACCCATGTTTTTTTTTTCCATTTATTGGAAAAATTCATGGGAAAATCAAAAAATGACCTCTCTAAAGTACCATCCCAGTCAGATTTGTTTTTCAGAAAAAGTGCTATCTTTGTAAATCGTAGCAAAATTGCTCGTAGAAAAGTTGTTCACGAAAAATAAAATAAACATCAATGTTAAACCAATACACATCTGTCTCCACTCAGAATTTTAAATGCATTAATCGACAAACAAATTATAAATATATTTTACCCATAAAATACTAGTTCATGAAATGGATTGCGTTTTCGAAGTCCATTTCATGAATTGGACAAATTCACTTATAGGGTGTAACAATATATTACGGTATAATAACATATACACATAGTATGGAACGGCCTATATTTATTGATTAATTCGCGTTCAATGGTTTTCGATAAAATTATTATAATATTGTATGAATTCTGGTATACACTATTTGAAAATCATCAAAAACCATCGTTGCATTGATAATTATTCTAAGAATAACAGTATCTATCGTATTATAATTATAACGGCGGTTTGGTGACGCAAAACAAACCAATCGACAAACTCGAGTGGCGACAAACCTTTTTTTTTCAAGTATAACTGACAACAGTAAGGGGAATGGTGATAAACTTGGTGTGTGCAAAGACGAAATTCGATTTGATAACACGACTAACGCTACATGCTACTTCGTAAAATGTTTCACAATAATAATCGCATTTAAATGTACTTACCAAAACATTTGCTTTGATTAGTTTCTCTATCTATGTACACTTTTGAGCTGAGGACTCGGCCGAACGGCATGAAAATGTTGGCAAGTGCACTGTCGCTTAACTCTTGTGGCAAATGATATATGAATAGGTTACAGTTCTCCGGTCCAGACGGATTGAAGAATTGTTCTGAAAAAAAAAATGTAAATAACGATAATAAAATCGACCCGGAATCGGTGATTTTGGATTTAATGCGTTTCACAAAGCGAAAACTTACGTTCGTAATTCGGCACGATATTGTAAAACGGTTGGTAAGGAACTAAAAAAATAATAATATTTTACTGTATTATAAGTACGATTGAAAGACGTTTGAAGTTTTATTCGGCCGAAAATATTGTTACCTAAGCCGTGTATTGCCGAAACGTTATTAAAAGGCAGTTGTTCACGGACTTGCGGCACTGCAATGAGTGCATTTGGATGAGCCGGCACGGACAAATGAAGTGACTCTGCCAGTATCGCGTGATGGTGGTCTGTGTAAACATTAATAAATCATTGTGTTTGAATTATAATATTATAACATTTATAACCAAAGTTGTACAAATTTGAGTGTATATTTTTAAATAGTGCCGTCGTAAGTGGCGCACGGTATATTTTTCACGAAGGCGTAGAAAATATAAATATCTAGGTACCCACCCATCCCTCCAGACAAATATGAATACAACTCAATTATAAATTAATACTGTTAATACTAAACAAATATACATAAAAATAACATCTAAACTCACCTGGAACAAGACACCCACCAATTTTCTGACGGGTGACGGTTGATACCCCCGACCCCCGATGTGCGCCACTGGCCGTCATGTATGTTAATTTGTATTTATTTACAATTAGGGCTCAGAACTTATTGCGTTAAAATCCACAAAAAACTGCACTTGACAAATATTTAAAAATCAAAAATGTTAGAAGGGTTTAAATGTCCCTCCTCTAACGGCGCTAACTTATTAAATACAATTTTTGTACGCTACACAAATTATTAACCTAAATTAATTTTTTTAATAATACGTAGAATTTTATTTAAACATAATGACGTTTTGTTACCTAATTATTATGCGTGTTAATTATTTGTGTCGTGTTAGAAAATTATGTAATTTAACGTCGTTATACAGGGGACCTTTAAACTCTTCGATCATTTGGTCTAATAATTTATGCTTGATGCACCTTTTTTTTTTTTTTCGAGGCTTTTTTGACGTTTTTAAGTGCATTTTTGTGAATTTTCAGTGCAATGAGTCCCGAAACCTATGTACAATTATTCCCAAATGTATAAGGATGTAATAATAATAAGCGACGACGGTGCTTATATTTATGGATTTTTCATTGGTACATTACATCCTACGATATTATTATATTTCCGGTGCGTCCTGTTCGGGTCGCGAAAAATGGTTTTAGTCGAGCTTGCTTTTAAAATATTGACCGTCGACGGACAGACGTATCCGAAAAAAAAAAAAAAGTTACAAAATAAACGTCAATTGCTATATAAACACAAGTTACTGCAGTATGCGTACGGCTGCAATATTATTGTCTTTGGGCAGCGCGCGTTCGTATAAATATAATATACGTATACTCGTATATGCTTTGAAAGCATTTTCATTATTATTTCGCTAACGTCCGGGACGAAGGAAGCCGGTTTTATTTTTGCGCTTAGGGGCGTTTGGACGCGTGCTCTAGGTTTAGTTTTATATCGACGGGGAATAATACGTCGACGACAGTCACGAATGTCTACATTTATACGTTTATATGTACTAATCCCGCGATGGAACGGGCTTAACAATACCTTTTCGCGTCAATATATGTTTCTGTGCAGTATTTTTATAATGTGATACGTTTTTCATTTGGTCCGTAAAAACATCGAAAATGATGTCACGCGGGTAAAACGCGCGATATTGTGTTGTTTGTCAATTTGTATGTTCGTACGTTTCAAAATATCGTTTGGCGAAAAAATGAAAAAAATGAATCGTATTGAAAATATCTAAACCCGGCGGTACAATATTTTTACGGATTTATGATTTATGATTAAAACTGAAAACCGCGGTTTTATCGGTCGTTTAAAAAAAAACACGATTCTGAGCGGAGTAGTATAGTAATAGCCGTGGTTTTTCCCCGGTTTCCAACGGAACCCGAAATCGACAATAATCAAAATGGACATAGAGGACGAACATGTTGATAATACCAATATAGGTATGTTCCGAATAAAGTATCGTCGGGTAAGCAGATATATTGCGTCTTTTATAAATACCTAATAAAAACTGTAACATCCGTACCGAACACTAACCGAATCCGTTCAGAGAGTGAGTAAGAATACATTTCGTACGGTCTGAAATCGACCACCGCCAAGGGCTACGATTCTATACCGGCGCTCTCGCCACAGAGCAACGCGTATATGCAGGACCGTATCAATGGGGGGGACGGTGCCCTCGCCCCGGGCGCAATACGAAGCCTACGGATATTGCGTAAAAATAGATCAATACATAACAAATTTGAAATGTAGAAACATCCGATACGAGAGATAATATTATAACTAAGGCGCGGATTATAATGCGATTTGAATTTTTTTCTGAATGTCCTAAAGCAATGTTTTCCAATCACAGAATTCGTTTCATTTATAAAAGAATTAAAGTATGAAAATTTAATTTTGCATTTTTAGAATTTTTTTTATTTTCAGACATTTTAAATGCATATTTCGGCTTTTGAGGTATTTTTTCTTCTTTCTACTAACTCCTTAGCATTATCAGAAAAATGGATAAAATTTGTTTTGATTTCCTCCCAAAAGAAAAAATATTCATACTTTTATTTTTAAAATGTATTGGCGGTATAGATTTACCGATTATACCAGATAAATACGATGCCAGCTGAAAACGATAAGCTATTTTGCAAGTTGTAATAACGTAGTCGTATTGCGCTATTTGCACTGTTGTGTTTAGTAAATTTAAATACCTAATAAAAAGCAGTTTTTTTTTTTAAGGAATTTGTTAACCTTTATTTTTACTTAAGTGCATTCAATTGTATTTTTCTTATGCATTTTTATTGTTTTTTTTTTTAAAAGCATTTAAATCCGCAATCTAATAATTATAAAACTCGTTTGAATTCGGTTTCGTGAAAATCCTTCGGCTTTGAGTTTTTATCGCAGTGAATTGTCAGAGTTGGCGAGGGCGTGTTTTGAAATTTCGCACCGGGTGCAATATATTCGGATTGTAAACTAATATGTAAATAGAGATGAGCAGTAATTAGTTACATAGTTACATGTATCAAAGTAACTCGTTTACTTTTGTAACTTGTAACTTCTAAGTTCCACAATTTTCAAATAACTCTCAAATGTAACGAGTTACAACTTGTTTTGTAACTTGTAACCATTAGATACACGTAACTTAAGTTACAAAAATCATTTTGTATCATTATTTTGTTTAATACTAAACAATATTATTTCAATTTGTGATAAGAACGGAATAATACGTGCCATATCGCTTACTAGTTATGATATCTATAATTATAATACTTATAGTCAGTTGCAGATCAGTAAATACTTCGTTTACAGGTCTTTAAATAATACAGAACGTTTGTGCAACTCGGCCTTAATATATTAGCTTTAACTTGTAACTATTGACCTATCGTATAAATTAATTGCATTTTTTTTATTGTCTTAAAACTATATTATTGTTATTTTGTATACAAATTTGATAAATTATTTGTAACTTATAATGTAACTTAGTTGCAGTAACTGTAACTGTTAACCAGTCACTCAGGATATATGCAACTGTTACTTGTAATCAGTTACCCAAAATTATAGTAACTTGTAACTAGTATCCAGTTACACTATGTATTGTAACTTGTCCATCCCTGGTTTTACACGACGGTTTCACATAGTGTAAAACCGTCGTAGAACTTCTCGTTTGCGCTGGGAAAATCGTGAAAATCGGGGGTTTCGTATCGGAGTTTCGCGCGGTTTGATATATTACACTCGATAGTTGATAATAATATATATTTTATACGCGCGAACTCTTCGCGTGATGTATTATTATTTTTGACCGTCTACGAGTAGTATATTATTATGCATATGTCTTGCAATAGCGTATGCGCGAAATGTTTTATAATATCACGTTAACGTATTGTTTTACACGGTTTTCGTATTAGACGATAGACCTAATTTAATATTACACTGTATTTTCTACAAATACCGTGCCCTCCGCAACATCGACACGACGCTACGGTCCGTATACTCGGGACAGGATCAAAGGATCGCGGTCTACGTTCAAAACGAATATTTCGTTTAATCCCCGCGTCTGTCGAACAAATTTAACGAAACGCATTATAACTAGCTGTTAAATAATGTATTTTGTTTTTTGTCGGATTTTTTTTTTTTTTTTTTTTAAATAATAATTATAATATTTATCTTTCATACGGTTTATTTGCTTGTGTATAGGATGCAATTTACGTATATTATTTACCGAAGCTGTTTACCCCCGATTTACTCGATATTTATGCGTATTATTTACTGCGGCGTAAAAACAAACCGGTGGGGGGGGGGGGGGGTGAGGAGGAAACAAAAAAAAATACCTAACCACAAAAAATCTTTAATTTTTATCGACGTAAAAATAATAGCGTTACACGCGGGTTATATTCAAAATGTTTACGTAATGTTTTGTACATTATAATATAATATTATATGGTGGTGCACAGTGCACGGTAGTACACAAAAGATACACTTTCACTATACGCAAACACAGTTTATCGTGACAGGTATTTACGTTTTTGCCTTTGACATGTTAAAATGAAAATATTCAATATTTTATTATTATCATTATCATTATTATTATTATTATTATAATGAAAAATGCCGATGTCTATCAGCAATCCGGGGTAAATAAGGTTCGTATATAATATATACATGCATAGGGGGGGGGGGAAGGTAGGGCATGTCAATGAAATTCGAGTAATTCATTTTTAGATATTTAAACCGAAAAAAAATTTAATTATTTATTATAATATACTAATACTACACTTACCTATGCGGATAGACAGTAGAAAAATATAATATTTTAAAAAATTGAATAGCATCGATTCAGGAAAAATTAAAAACAAATATTTAAATACAATTATTATTATAGGTTTTTATTATATTTTCTTTTTGAAAGCGGCAGGAAAAAAGATAAATTAAAACTGTACGTAAAGCGATTATTCGCAGGTATATGATGTTTTTATTCAAAATTAATATAATATTTGGTTTTTTTCATTTTTTTCAAACTTTAATGATTTAATAAGAACTTAAAAGTTCTATGTATATAGTATATACATTTTTTTTTCATCGAGATATGCTTTGTTATTTTACTATTTATCTTGAAATGGTAGAAAAAATTATCGAAGGAAATACATCACAAACATTATTTTTCTATGTTAATTTTTACCCGAGGCTCTCGGCTTAATATTACCTGCAGTATACATTATCACGCAATATAATAATACTTTTTTTTTTCTTTTTAATAATTTTTATTAAGGGAATCAACTCATCGCGTAAAAATGATAAAGCGGATACGTTGTTTTTTTCTGGTCGCTGTGGGAGCCAGTGGCGTATTTAGGATTTTTTCTAGAGAGCGGATGATGAAAATAATTTTAAGGCCCGTGGCAACGTCTCCTACAGCGTACAAAATGTATACCTGCACCTCACTTTTTATAATATGTTTTAATTTTTCAAATTACAAAATACATTTGCACACACATTAAAATATAATATTTAAGTTTCTACGTATATATTAAGGTGTTTCAGGACATCTTTTTTTATTAGATATTTTTCTTCTCGTAATATTGTGGTCCTTAGAGAGTTCCCGAATTTTTTAGATTTTTTTCATATTTTTAAAGGTCGCGAGCATCGATTTTATGAAAAAAGTTGATTTTTTTTTTATGTAAAAATAATAATTTTATAACCAAAATATTTAGATCAAAAATCATCGGAAGAAAAATACAAATACACTTTTATTTTTTTCAAATTAAATAATCTAAATTTTACCACTTGTTCGGGACTTCAAATGTACATTTTTTAAAGGATTGATAAATCAATCATTTTAACCCTTAAATATATATTTTAGAGTTTAAAATATTTTTTACTAATTCTCCATTAGTTACCAAGAGAATGGTTGTACTTGTTTAATGAGTTACAGTTGAAATTACAAGAAATATAATTATTTGAAATTTCATGAAATAATAACATTTTTACACCATTTTGTTATCATAAATTGATTTTTGATATTTATAAAATTTTAAAATAACGTTGGGAAAATTCGTTGAAATCTACGTCATCGTCTGTAATTAATGATTATTGGTGTTATCGCTAAGGCGATGGAAAACTGATAAAATTATATATGTTATTATTATTCGAATATTTGGGCTTTGGTTATTTGACAGTTTCAGTATAAATTCTGATTCCGACGTCTGTAACTCGTATTTGTGAGACGTTTTTTTATGTTTTCATAAATTGAACAATTAGCTAATAGGGAATTGTGACGAAAAAGTGGATAAAAATGATAGTTTACCTTTAAACCATTTCGCGTCATTTTCTTTGGATACATACGACAGAAAAAAAGGAAATTAATTAACGTGTACGAAAAATAGCGGAAAAACTGACTATTATTTGCATAAGAAAAGGAATTTAGTATATTAAAGATCATAATATAATTAAACAGATGAAAACAATTCATTAAAATTGGTTGAATTTAAAAAAAAAAGTAAGTATTTAAATTCTAATTTAAAGTAAATAAACGATTTTTTTAGACATTTTTAGCTGTGTATTTGATTTTAATCATTCAAATACTAAAAAAAATATTCGTGATAGAAATAAAACAAAATATGTTCAAAACTAAATAATAGTAAGAGGACGCATTTGAAGGCCTGAACGAGTGGTAAAATTTAGATTATTTAATTTGAAAAAAATATAAGTGTATTTGTATTTTTTTCTGATGATTTTCGAATTAAAGATTTTGCCTATAAAATTATTATTTATAAATATAAAAAAATAAAAACAAAGAACACAACTTTTTTCATAAAAACGATGCTCGTAACCTTTAAAAATTAAAAAAAAAAATCTAAAAATAATTTGGGAGCTTTATTCAGATCTAGGGAACAAAATATTACGAGAAGAAGAATATCTGATGTAAAAAAAAGTTCTGAAACACTCTAGTGTATATACTTCGATTACTTGTAAAGTGTGAAGTAGTTATTGATGTTTTTTTAATATTAATATTCTTTATATTACGAATTTTTTAAAAACTATGAAATATTTGACGAAGAAGATATAAACTAAGTATGTGAAAATGATAATTTAGTCGCTCTAGTATCTCGTTGAATTTTGCTTCTATGAGCCGCAGTTCGTTATCAATTTAAAATCAAAATAGTCGAACCCATGTTTTAATTTTTAATATTATGATAACGAGATAACAACTGTGTTTTTCGATTTCTACAGAAACTCGACGGTATATGATTATAGGTTTACCGTTATCGTCTTTTATATCTGCAGATTACATGTCACCACGGTCACCACCATAAGAATAACACTACTCTAGGGGTGGGAGGTCACGTCGTGAACCGTGGTGCATTACTTTTAATCGACAATATATGATTATTTTACCGCGATGACCACGCATTTTATACTATCAAATCAATATAAATTCTAAAAATACATTAGATATAATTAATATAATTTAATAATGTACGTGCAAAATATGTCGTAGGGGCGGATCCATCCCTCACGACCCGTCCCCGTAAATACTGCATGCGGGAGTGGATAAAAATCATTTGCTGTTGTAATTAATTTTCCGCGTATAACGTTTAGTAACGATTGATAATATAATCAAAACGGTTCTTACGTGTAGAGAAGGTTTGTTGTTGCATAGAACTGTTGTACATGATCGGATTGGACGTAGTTATGGTCGACGACAGTTGTTCTCTGGTAGACGTGTTCGGACGGTCGCCAATCGTAAATATCGGTATTGTCGACGACGGCAAGGTCGACAAAACGTTTTGGTTGCCCACAATGTGCGCTGTAACATTTCCCAAAAAGAAAAAAAAAAACAAAAAAAATTTAGAGATGAAAATTTAATTATAAATTGTAGTTCGCAATTTATTATAATTTATTTCGCGCTTACTGTTGATTGAGGAAACAACTGGCGTTGTTATTGTTTGAGCGGTTATCATTGAATTAATGTAAGTAGCGGCCTGCGTTGGTTCCATTGTCACGATTAACGATGGCTGCGGCCGGATAGAGAAAAAAAACCAGTCGGTAAAAATATACAGTTATGAAATAAAATTAGCGTAGGTATTTTCTAAAAATATTATTTTAATATATCTAAGTAGTATTATAAAATTAAATATTTACAAGTGTAGGTGTTATAATCAGCGTGATCGGTGTTCTCTATAAAGATACATTTTAAAACATCAATTTTAATATACCTATATAAAAAAAATTACTTGCTGGTTCTGGGAATGCGTGTGCTATTATTGTAGGTTGGAAGTTGGGAAAGTACGATAATATAATATGAAGCTGTTTGTTTATATCTGTATAAGTGAATAAGTAACGATGAACCGTTGCTAATGAAAAACGATTCTCAGCGATTCGGTAATACACGTTTTGAAATGCCGTAACTTTTACGATTTTTGTTAAAATTTGGACTTAAAAATGCTATAAAAAAAAACTAGTATATTAAACTCAACTTTTTTTACCATTAAATACTACTTATAGTTGATCTTTTAAACCGTTTTATTCATAGAACACCGAAAAAATAAAAACACACTTCATAGTACAACCCATAGAACCCTAGCTATGCTCCGAATTTAAATAACTATGTATAAAATGCCTAAAAAAAACACATGCCCAAACGTATTTGTGTAACGTTTTGAAATTCGAACCACGTCTAGATAGGCTAATAAGAAGTTTGGGACCATTTCAGGTCTTAACGATTATTTTCAACAAGATTAAAAAAAAAAAAAATAAACAAATATCATAGTAAAACCAATGTTGATCCCTCGCTTTGCTCCGAATCTAAAAAATAATTTTGTCATTACTTGAAAAGTCTATGTAAAAAAAAGTACTAAAATTAATAAAAGCACATATCTGAATTTTACGTAATGGTTGTGCAATTTATATAATTTTAATTATTTATATAGTATGTATTTGTATAATTAATTAAACAGTATTAACATTTGAAATGCGGTAGTGCAAGTGCTTGGCATTTTCACAGACCAATTTACACCACTACAGCTGTACCTATGTAAAATAAATTATGTTCCAAACGAAATTGTTATAATAATAATTCAAATACCTGGAAATCGTCTATTAATAAAAAATGGAGCTAGGATTTTAAAATAAAAAATATTCTTTTATTTACAATATTGAAATCGACGTCAGTTAAAACGTTTGATGTTTAAGTTTTGACACCCAAATAAATATTATGATGGTATACTGCGTTTATGTATCGAAATTATTGTATGGAGCTTTCCCCGACAGTTAGTTTTAATGAAAACCGTTATCAGTATAAAGCTTCGTAAAGGTTTTTTTTTCTTTCCTAGTATAAAATAATATACGTGCAGTATGCTTGAATCGGGGAAGAATCTTCTGTGCGTATACATTATCTTTTAATATTGTTAGTGTAAACGACAGGCTCGTTTTTAAATTTATTTCGAAATTTAGCTGGGTTTTTTACGTTGTTTCAGTGATTCTTTGAGAAATAACAAAAAAAAGAAAGATTTTAATTAATATTATCAATATATTGCAGTGTATAATATTCTTTGACTATACTAATAAAAAAAAAAAAATAAAAAATAAAAAAAAAATGTACAGTATGCAAATTGGTCTTAAATAATAAATATATAAAATCTTTTGATCGCTGGAAAAAAAACTAAATTCCATTAAAGGAATCTTTTTCAAGATGGTAAAATAACTAAATATTTGTTCTGTTCGGCTTTTTCTGCCAATCAAAATAAGCGTAAAACTATTTGAGATATCTCAGATAGGGATAAGTTAATGGCAATAAATAATTTATTATTATTTATTGTAAATAGTATTTTTAATTCAATTAATAATATATTATATTATTCGCTATTGGTTTGAGTACTTTATTATGATTATCATATCTTGTACATGGTTTTTTTTAATATAGAATAATATAAAATTACTGTTATCAAATAGTAATAATTAATATTATAAATGTTTGATACATGATAATTGATTAAAAAATACCTGATAAATTGACAAAAAAAAAAAAACACCCATTACAGAAATATCCGTAGATTCCTCGCTACCCTCCGGATCTTAAATTACGTAAACAAAAATTAGAAAATGCAAGATGCCTATAAATACCTCAAAAAATATTTCAGAATACTTTGAAAATTGTTTTACGTCTAAAAAAACTAGTATGATTTTTTTATTAACATTTGAAGATGCCACGAATATTTTTAACTGAATTACAACAACAAATAAAATTTAAAATAACGGAACTCGTAAACTTTTTCGTTTTTTCTCAATATTTCTCAATTATTAAGAAAACTACTCAAATAAACAAAAAACAACTTTTTTACTAACCAGTGAAATCTATATTTCAGCAAAAAAGGTCTCTTGTTATTTTTCGATTTAATCAATATTTCTAGTAGAAAGCATTAACCGTATAAATTTAATAAATAATGAAATCATAATGTAAATTACGATTACGTAAATTTGTTAGTTTTCATTTTATGTATTTTTCCAGATTTTCTCAATTATTATTGAAACTGCTTAGAAAATTAATGATCTCTCATTGCACCAACACGATCCAAAATTTAACTTTAGAGGCCCTTGTAATTTTTAACTGGTGCAAAATTTCTAGTAGAAAAGTTGTACACAAAAGAAAATTAAAAAAAGTCAAATACTTCGCACGTGAATGAGCCACTATTATAGGTGAGAATTTTGGAAGGAAGAGGGGAAATTTAATGTTTAAATGTGCATTAAAATTTAATGCAAACAAAATTCGATTCTGAGCAGAATTCGGTTAATAATGTTGCTTTATCAACAATATATATGTCACATTACAGTGAAATAATTGCATATACATTATATATTTTCTTTAATAATATTTGTTTAATATTTCATCTAATTTCCCGTTTTTCCTACGTTTTTTCCCGCTTTTTCACATTTAATGGAAAAAAAACCTGGAAAAATCAAAAAATGAACGCCTTAAAGTACCATCCCAGGAAAATTCTCTTTTAAAAAAAGTGCTATACTTGATACTTCGGAGTATGATTTCTGGTAAAATTTGTGTACATAATATAAAAAACTGAAAAAAAAAAACAGCTTTATAAAATCAATACTGAATACGTTCTTCGCTACATTCAGAATCTAAAATTAAAAATACAAATAAAAATGAAACACCTACGCATATATCATAGTAAAACCAAAGTAAATCGTAATAGTCTTATTTCCGAAACACCAAAAATGTTAGAAGTGTTACATACATACCTGGCAAATCTGATCGTAACCTGCTCCATACGGTCCGTACCGATTGTAAATGATAGTTGGGTGAGTACCCAAATGCAGATTATTATGCAGATTGTGATTAGGCAGATTATTAGCCGGATCATTAAGTGGATTATTAGCCAGATTATTAAGCGGATTGTTAGGCGAATTATTAGGCGGATTGTTAGGAAAATTATGCATTTTTATGGCAATTTGTATACGGCTGTTTTCTGTACGAATTGTTCACCGTACAGGCAGTTTAACAAATCCCTGAAACATATATCATCACAATTTTTGTATAGTATTCAATGTTAAAAATAAAATAATATGTTTACACGTATAATTAGATTATAATTAGATTTAAAAAAATGTGACATAGTAAAATAACATCTATTTCCAACTTTTAGACGGAGTTTAGACCAGGTTGGCACGGGGATCTAAACCATGCATAAAGAGGAGTGGAGGAGTTTGGTATTGGCAGCAAAGGGCTTAAATGTTCAATAATGCTAAAAAAAAAAAATGTATACATGTGTATTGTACTAGTTTAATGTCCCTAGGATAAAATTTGGGAGAGAACATCAAATGTCGTTAATTATAAAAATAATGTAACATACTTATTAGTCTATTGCACCCAATACTTATGTATATCGCCGTGCAAAAAGTGATTGAATGACTTATACATTTTAAAAATTGTATTAAATTTTGATGTTGATCAAGAATTATTATGTATGCGTCAATAAGTGATACCTACTTAAAACGATTTATGGTATCTCTTGGCACTTATTTCGTTTAAATATACATAGGGATGAAATAAGGCGTTTGAATTTAAAATGTTGAACATGTTTTTGTTTTTACTCGGTCACTTTTTGTACGACGGCGACGACATCGGTAAAAATATTGCAGAAATATTTTTTAGCTATAGATTTTTTTTTTTTTTTTTTATACAACATGTTTTAGGTAATACACCGTACGCCTATAATATCAATCAAACGTTAAGGCATAAAACGCTTTTTAATTTCGTTGACTCGCGGGTTTTCATCTTCTCCTGAAACCACGATAACGTGATGCATTGAAGAATTTCGTTTGGGATTACTGCGATTCTCGGACCGCGTGTTCCGTCCACGTTGTCATACAGTGATGGGGTGATTTAAAACTCGGCTATTTTGCGCGAACAACTTACACGTTCGCTTCGCGTTCTATATTACAAAATAAAACCAAAAAGTGTAGATTACATTATATTACTGACGAATCCGGACGATATTGCATTTCGATTATATATATATCGTGTTATTATATTTTACTCGCATAATGGACAAAGGAGAATCGCGTCTTACCGTGTAACCCAATCCATCCATTTTAAAAACTGTACGCTATATTGTATTTTTCATTTTAGATACCTACTTCGGTGTAGTTTTTAAAAGAAAGAAAAAAAATTGATTAATATTGAAAAATATTTTTCGTCAAAATTATTTTTATTTTTTTTTTTTTTTTTTGAAAGATAAAAATATCTTGTACAACATTGTACTTTTATATAATATTAATTTAAATAATTGTTTTTGCTAAAAGTTTTTTTTTTGTTATGCGCGATATTGATTTTTTTTTTTCTTTTTATGGACCCGTGGCTTAAATACACACACACACACACACACAAATACTAATTTATTTGATAAATAATTATGTTGTGGTGTATTTGATTTTACTTATATAGGTACACACTAAGGAAAAATAATAACACAATCGGTTTTTAGGAGAATTATTGAAGTAATATCGTGTTAGAATTTAACCTATACATTCCAATAAGCCTAACATATTATAATAGATACAATATACAGGGTATTCCACGGAGATCTTATTACTGCAATAGTATTTGTTCTGCACAATTTTTAAGTTGTTCCGCTTAGTCATTATAGTTGGAGTCTTGCGCTTTAATTCTTATGCATACATATATGTATGTACATATTTTTTTAAAATTAACAATTTAAAACAAACGAACATACTTCGCGCGATGGGTGGACCACTTTTGTAGATGAGAAGTTGGGAATGTAGAAGGAAAATTTAATGTAAGTATATCTGTACGCAATGTATATCATTGTTAACGAAAACGAAAAACAATTCCGACTGGAGTTCGGTTATACGTTGTTTTGAAAGACCGTAATATCGTAATAAATGTCATAAATGTTTCCGTTATTCCTACGTTTTTCTCATTTATTATAAAAACCCCAGAGAAAATCAAAAAATGAACTCCATTCCAGTTAAATTTCACTCAGAAACTTAAATTACAATTTTTAAAAACTTTTTTTTTAAATTTTATAAATTTATTTTGAAACAAAATGTCGGTGTTACAAATATTTACTAATGATGACTCGTTAATTTTCTACAGTTTTACGAAATATAGTTATTTTCATTGTCATTATACTAAATAATATCAATCAACTTAAAAAATATTCCCAATTAAAAAATAATAGTGTAATTGATTTGTATAAACTTCAGACATTTTAGACAATTAGCGACTTGTAGTTATTAAATATTTTGAACACTTAAATTTTAAATAATCTCTCCTATTAAAATAAATTATTTTTATACTCTATGTAAAATGACCAATTTGCATAATTTTGTTTTTTCTTTGTATTCCTTCATTTTGACTGTGACATATCTGATGATGAACTTTTAATTTAAAACCGGTCGCATAATGCACTTATCATAATACTCCAAGAGACGCATTGATTCATTTATTTATTTCATTTTTATACATTAATTTTTTATTTATATATTTATTTATTTAAATTAAATGTCGTTTTGAAATTAACTTATAAAATCGCTACCGTGAATTTTGTAAACAGATTAAAGCTCTATATATATAAGATCTATTAAATAAAAATGACGGGCATACTCCGCACATGGGTGCAGCCACTGTTGTAGGTGGGAAGTTGTGAAAGTAGGATACAGACGAGAATTTAATGTATATGTGTGAGAAACGATAAATCATTACTAACGAAAAACAATTCTGAGCGGAGTTTAGTTGATAGTATTGATTTGTCAACAAAATATATGGTATATATCATATTATGGTAAAGTGATTACAATAATAATCTGTGACAACAAAGATTGTTTAAAAAATATTAAAATAATAAAACAAAAAATAAATAAAAACGGTTGCCAATGACAACCTTATTTTTAATGTTTTTTAACCTAAAGAACTAGGTTTTCCTCATTATCTAGAATATTATTGAAAATTTCAAAATATGACCCATTTAAGTACCACCCAGAGAATATTGCTTTTCAAAAAAGTTGTTATACTTGATAATCGGAGTAAGTTTTTTGATAGAAAAAGTGTTTACATAAAAAAAAAAAAAAAAAAATTAAACATCTTTGTAAAACCAATACATTCTTCACCAAATTCAGAATCTAAAAGAAAGTTGTACTACATATTATAAAAAAAAAAAAACGGATGTAGGTATGTACGTAGGCAGATATTTTCAAATAGACAGTATTCGAAAGCGCATCAAATGATTTGAACAGGTGATTCTATATTATTCCACCTTTTCGGAATAGATTTTTGCCAATCTATTTCGAACTGCAGCTCCGACATTAGCGTAACGAAATCGCGTCCAGATAGCTTCTTTATAATATAATAACATTATGGTGTACCGTCAACTATTAGTATATTAAATTTATGTTGCTATATAACTTTACACAAATAATAGACGGTATCGTATCGAGCTTTCGGATCGTTTAATCGCGAGAACACCAAAGCCATACTATAAACGAGCACTTCGTATAGATAACATTATACATATATACATAGATATTTTACCGTTTACACATACCGTTACCGAATACACATCATATTCAATATTGCGTGTAATGATATTTAGCTATTATTTGCCATACGGTTTACTGAAATCGGAATCGGAGTTGTAATACCTAACGAAAACCGTAAAGGTATAATACTCCCCTTTGACGCGGCGCGCGTGCATACGATACCGCAACAACATACCAGCTATTTAGTCAGTCCACAAACTCAAATACGTAATAATTATTATTATTGGCGTCTGTAATACCGGGGCAATACGATATGCTGTAAGTAGCATTTGAAAATTTCACGAAATACACGGTTTTGACATGTATACAATGGAACATTTTTTTTTCCATTTTCACACACCTATACACTTGTCGTTGGCGATTATTCTCTTTGATGTTATAAAGGTCTTTAAATGGTTTTATATTGATAAAAAATCATACGCAAATGATACAATATCATACAAAATACATAGCGCGTACATTACAATCGCTTTATATATGTACACATATACATTAAATACGAGTATATTATAATATATAGGTATTATTATGCTGCGGAATACTATGCAGTATAGGTACTTTGTATACTACTGTCTACTGTAGTATATTTATTGTCAATATTATGTTTGATGGAATAACAAAAGGTCCGTTGATTTTTACAAAGACTGTTTAACAATATTTGTATGATTTTGTTCATAAAAACTACACAGAATATTATAACAATGAATGGATTAACACAAACATTTTAAATACACAAGACAAATATTCACTAAAATCTCAGAGCAAAACAAATTAAATAAATATAATAACGATAATATTGATAACATTTTTGCCCTCGAAAACGAGATATAGACGAAGTGACTTAACCCTGATAATATGTCGACCATGATTAATATAAATGATTAGGGCCACAACTCACGGACTATAATAATATTAATTGATAAATAATAATTACCATCAATAATTGTATAAAAAAAAAATTTAATGTTTCACGTTTCTGTAAAATATTTTAGACTTCAAACACTATTTTTAAGCTACCTACGATGTGTGACGTATATAATATTATAATAATTGGTGAGTATAGTTTTTAAATACCTATCAACTTACTGAACAAAGAGTTTTGCGTAATAACCTGATGGCTCGATTTTTTTCAAAATTGTCTATTTAATTATTATTTATAAGTACTATAGATTAAAATGCAATAAGAAATAAAATGCAAAAATAAAATAAATTCTTTCCTGTACCTGTTATTAATTTAAAAAAAAAAAAAAAAACAATTTAAAATATGTTTTGAAGAATGTCTGGTTATTGTATAAAACCTTTCATTAATCTTTTCCGTAGCACTGTATATAGCTGAGGCGATTACAGTTAATAATGGCTAAATCAAAAATGGCCACAAA